TTGCTACTGCATAATTAATTGGAAACTTTGTTTTGGTACATAAAAAGTGTTCAATTTTTTTCTTTGATTTATTTCTGTTTGTGGAAATTGTTTCATTAAAATGACTGATTGCATTATTTTTTGAAAAAATGGTAACGTTTTTTGGATTTTTCCTCATTTTTTCTTTGTTTCTGAAGCATAAATTTTAGATCATTGAATTTAACAATGAAAGACTATTGGATGAATTTGAAATTTTTTTTTTTTTTTTTTGGAATTTTGCTGCCGCTCCTGTTGAAGTTATTACTGTTACTACCCCCAAAATATTGCAAGTACATTTTTACGAGAATATATATTTATAAATATAAATCTATACATATATGAAGAAAACCAGTTTTTTTTGCTAAACTATAAAAAAATTATTGCTTTAACAAGGCAATAAGAGGATCAGTAAAGGCAGCAGTAGCAGCATCTCCAACGGCAATTGCAGCAATTGCGGCAACATCGTCGTCATTTTCACCACTATTTCATATAGCAGTTTTTTTTTTTGGCTGAGCTTGTGCATGGCTAAATTCTATGTGTACTTACATCATCTATTTATGTTTGTTTTGCATATACTTGTCCTTTTTTTTCAGGCAGTCATTTGATGAATTAATAAGTTTTTTTTTCAATTTTCTTCTACATCAGGAAAAAATCTTTGCTTGAAGTGTTTTTAGTTGATGACAAACGGCCTGAATCAGTAGTTTTCTGTTCAAAATTCTTCCACACTTGTGTACTTCTGAGGAACATGTGGTTCAGTAAGAGTGGGCATCTTTCTGTTTGTTGGTGTATTAGTGTGTATGTGAATGTATTTTTACATGTGCGTTTCTCCGTATCTGTGGCTGCCTTTTCCACGTCCTAACGTTTCCATTAATCCACTGTTGAGCAACTTCCCATATTCCTTCTGCCAGCCTCCGCTCATTCCCAAAAACAGCTTGACCATTAATTCATCCATTCATCTCTGCACCCGATCTATTCGTTCCACTCATCTATTCGTTTACTTATCAACTCGCATATTTGTTTATCCATCCAATCGTTTATCAGGTTTATTTGTGCATTTCTTCTGTTCCTCGTATTTGCGTAGTTGTAACGATTGTCGTCATTTTTCGTGCTCATAAGACCACAGAAAGTGGCTGGATGTGGCACAGATCAACAGTCAAAGAAAGATAAGAGAAAAAGCAAAAGTAAAGCATTAATTAATGCAGCTATCTTTAATTAAGAGTTGCGTCTTAATTGAATTTTATTAGATTTAATAGAAAAATGCAGAACTGATAGCGGACAAACAAGCAGACAGAGATATCGGATAAATAAAAAACTGGAAGAGAACCTGCTGACTCCCTATTGCAGAAAAGCTACATGTTAGAACTACAGTTTTCATTCGTTTTTTGCTGGTTTAAAAAAAGTTATTA